AAAATTTTTTAAAAACCCCCCCCCCCCCCCCCCCCCAAACTTCATGATTTGTTACTCATCGCCTGTGGATTCGGATTGGTTTGCAGATCTCATTTGGACGTCACCCAGATGACCTTAAAAAGTGTCATGTGGGCAAATTATTAAAAGAATGGAGTATATCATATCTGATTGCTTGTAGCAAAGTAACTCCACAACATGCTTGCATAATGTCATTAAATAAAAAGTATATTTCATTTTAGGGCTTTCCAGGAGAAATAAGTGCTGATGAGGCAGTGCTGTAACAAGGAAGTATATTGTTAAGCAAATGAAAAGAAATACAGTTTGAGATAATGACATTGACTTAAACAGACAAAGGTGAGAGAGACAAAATCAGTCCTACTTTGTAATGTGTTGTGTTTAAGACTAGAAGAATATTCTTTAGTTACAAACTCCTGCATTTGGTCCTCTTCCTCTTAATTCTTTCAGGGTTTTTTGAAGCTAGCTTTATCTTAATGTATTATTTTTAATTTGAATGAATGAATAAATGAGTACAATTAAAGGGGTGGGTCTGGTGCAGGCAAAAATAAAGGAAGGTTGTAATTTGCAGATTATTCATGCCAGAGCCTGGAATGAGCCTACCTGTTCTCAGCGTATTGACTTGTGTGTGTGTTGTTTCATACTGACGTATAATTTCTGTGTCATGGCACACTGGATAAATGCGTATTTAGGTATAACATCACAATGTTTATCTTTAATCAGTGAATGAAGTCTTTTTCAAGGAGGCTTTTTTCTGTATTTAGTAGAAGCAGGTGTGAAAATAGTCTTAATTTTCATATCTATGTATTTCAATTAGTCTAATGCTTTGGGTAAAAATACGCATGATCAGAACATTTTGCTTATTAGGTTGTTCTTAGTAGCTTGGCTTTCTATGTCATGCGTTCACACAGCTATTGCATTTTGTGTAATTCTGTAGGTACTAAGTACTGCTAGCAGGCATGTACCTTGCGTATGCAGAACGGGTAAGTTTGGACACATTTCAGTCTGCTCACAGTGCTTTGTAAGGAGGCTTTGAGGAGTTACGTGTTCTTTACTTCATGTATTGGAATGGTTCCCTGTGTGCTTTCCATGATAGCAGAGCATATCCTTAGTGCTGTGTGTTTATTTTACTCACAGGAGTAATCCCATTAACTTTTAAATTTACTGCAGTGGAATTACTGGTATGAGGAAGGACAGCTCATGTCTAATGGTCTTTTTGGGATCAGTCTGATGTGTGATGTATGGCTTTTCAAGAGGTTTAGAATGACTCAATCATGGCTTTAAAATGGAAACCACTATCCTTTTGACAGTAAAACAACATTTGAAACGCAGCATTTTTAAGTATATGACTAAAAGCATTGCTGCCTAGTGACACATGTTTAAAAAAAAAAGGAAATAAACTATAGCGAAGATTGACTCCAAGATAGTACCTGTTTCCTTTTGAAGCTTACCTTAAAAATTGTAACAAATAGTGGAAAACAGGCAAACTGTCTTAAACAGAACCACTGACAGACTGTCTGCTTATAGTATCGTAAATGTTGACACCATAATTTGATGTATAAAGCAGCTATTTGCACTTCAATTTACAGATGGGTAAACTGGCAGGTACCATGGGAGGAAAGGAAGAGTTGGCAGGCTTGTCTGACAGCTTCTTCCCCCTCCACTATTAACTCTCCCACTATTGCCTCACT